GAATATTGTTCCATACTGAGCCTTTTTTTTTTTTTTTAGTATTAATCTACTTGGTCACTTTTAAACACATGGCCAAATATAGACAGTACATTTTTCTTTCAGAGCTAACGTAATTTGGCTATAGCTAAGACACCTAAACTGAGACATGGAACACAGGGATAAAAAGAGTGAGACGCTGGAATAATTTATGTACTAGAAATAGCAGGCCCGGAAGAACTTAGCCGATGGGACAGTGGAAATGACACTGGAAGCTGGAATCTGAGTGTGCTGGTCCAGGATAACAATGCCCTGATGACTTGGACAGAAGGAATAAGGAGGGACAGGACCAACAAAATCTCCCCAAGTGCCACTCCAGAGGCCATCTGGGCTCCCGCCCCTGCAACCACCTGACACAAGGGGCCTAAGCCTCCCCGAGCCCAGACTATTAGCACCTAAATTTAGCTGTCACCCAGAATCTAACCGGTCTTGGGTGGAAGCAAATTAAATTTCCAATTGCACTTACCTCTCTGAATTCTTTCCAGAGAGTTTTCCCTTCACTCAAAAAGAACATAAAATGAAAGTTCTTCATAAAAGAGATAAAATATATTTCTCCTAATTGCCTTATCTTTACTTCAAAGGCTGAAAAGAAGCAGAGTTATATTCATGAGGGAGAAAATACTAAACCTGAACTAGATTTTTAAGTATCTTCTACATATCAAAACGTCAAGACCACTGAGTGTACTCTCTTTATAGCTGGATTTATCTTCAAAACCCCCCAAAACAGTATTTTTGGAGGGAAATTTAATTTTCCATGTCTAATTTCTGTGTTTCCGTACAGCGTTTTTTTCCCATTATTTTAATGTGAAGAGAGAGATTAAGAAGAATGTTTAAAATTGAAGACATCAACTGCATAGATTTTGGGGGGGAAGGAGAATGGGGAAATGAGATCAAGAAAAGATTAGATAATCTTTTTATTTTTACTGATATTCCCAGAAACTTTCGGTCAGAAGTAGTTTCATTAAAAGAGAAAGCAATTTCTGCTGATAGACTGTCACCTAGTGGTGTTTTTACCATATTCATAATATGAGTAGCTACCGAGATGCTTTTGAGATAAATACATGCTTATTTCTCTTTGACATTCCTGGGCAACCTCTTAGAGTATTGTCACAGTAGAACAGACCCACTGTGTGCTTCTCAAAGGCCTAATGCTCATGTAGGCAATAGCTAATACAGGCTGAAGGCCCTTCGAAAGGAAGTTTGGCCTCTGTAATTGTTTGAAAATTGTCAAAGAAGCTCTGGCAGCAAAATTAACACTAACCCTCTTCTGTTTTCAACCTCTGGCTTCTTCGTAAGTCCCCTTTTCTAGTAGTCAAACTAGGCTCAAACTCTCAAAGAGTTTTCCAATTAGGGGATGACAAATTAATGTGCGTAACCCATTGGCACATCAGTCCAGAGATACAATTCAAAAAGAAGGTCTCGAAGTCAAGAATGAGGCAACAATTTCCAGATATAATCTAAGAGTTTTCCAATTAGGGGATGACAAATTAATGTGTGTAACCCATTGGCACATCAGTCCAGAGATACAATCAAAAAGAAGGTCTCGCAGTCAAGAATGAGGCAGCAATTTCCAGATATAATCCACATCAAGAATCCCTCCCATCTTATTCTCAAAGAGGCACGACAGTCCTCTTCCTCCAGCTCCTTGTCCTCAGTGCTCCCTAATTCCTCCTTCTCTATGCTGACACCATCCCTCTTGGCCTCCAGGTTCTCTGCCAGTGCATCAACACCAGGCAACAAGGAGGTACCCTCCTCCCATCAGAGCCGAAGTCTATGTTCTGGCCACAGAGCTGGCACACTGCTCAGTTGTCAATGTTCACTCTGCATTCCATATTAGCAAAACCATTTATCAAGTGCCTACCGTGTAGCAGGCACCATGTGTGTCCCAGGGAACAGAACAGGCAGATCGCTGTCCTCGCGAACCTTACAAACTAACAAGGAGGACCGAACACACTAACAAGCTGTGATACGAAGGGAAAGCACGGGCGTTATGAGGAAGACATGTCACCTAGATTGGGAGGGTCTGCGAGAGGTGACCTTTCAGGAAGATTCATTTGAACTATGATATGAAAGATGAGTAGAAGTCAGCCCGGTGAAGAGCATCCTGTGTGCGTGTAAAAGCCCCGATCTTGGTAAGAGCTTGGAGCTTCTAAGAAACTGAACAGATGCTGGAGGCTATAAACTAATTTCACAGGAACAAGGACACTATATAATTCCACGAAGTTTAAAACCTACAGTCAAAATTGTAGCTTATTCATAGTAGCCCCCAAACAGAAACAACTCAAATGTCCATCAACTAATGAATGAATAAACAAAATGTGGTATCTCCATATAATGGAGTATTATTTGGCCATAAAAAAGGAATGAAGTACTGATACATTGAAAATATTACTCTAAGGGGAAGAAGCCAGACACAAAAGACCACATAATGCATGATTCCATTTATATGAAATGTCTGGAATAGGCAAATCTATAGAAACAGAAAGATTAGTGGTTGTTTAGAGTTGGGGGCAGGAAGGAAGAGGGGAAAGCAGAGTGACCGCTAATGGGTAGAGGTGTGTTTGTGGGAGAGGGATGATGAAAATGCTCTAAAACTGTGGCAATGCTTGCATAACTCTGAATAAAAAGACTATTAACTATTGTATACTTAAAATAGGTGAATTGTTGAGTAAGTGAACTGAATCTCAACAAAGCTATTATTTAAAAAAATCTAGAGTCGCAGATGCCAGATCAAGAATGCCAAATATGAAAATGCATCTCCTGTTTGAATCTCCTTTTTCTTTGAACTGCTTCTCCTTAGGAAACCAAGATGTGTTCACAAAGGGCTGAGCTGGGAGACGCTTGAGCTTGACTATACAATCCTGCTCTCAAAATTCCCTTCCTGTGACCCCAAAGCGTTCTCTGAAACCAAATTATGCACAGCATTTTTCTCCCCTCAAGAGATGTCCCTATACTAGTTGTCAGTCAGCTCCAGAAGGTAAGCCCTAAAAAGGGAAGGGTCTTTGTCCTAGAGATCAGCAATCTGTCCAACTTCTAATCATGGCCAGCTCCCTTCTCTGTGAAGATGTTTGAACTTCGATACAAAAATAAATCCCAGCTTGTTACCAGCCCCACTGACACAACCACGCAGTCAGAGTTTCCAGGAGTAATTCTCATACTTGTGACTCGGTTTTGTGTTCTTTACACTGAATGGAAGGGACTCTTGTTCACCGAGGGACAGACCTTTCTCTGCTCCACATCAGATGGCAACACTTCAGGATCCAACTTCCTTTCTCCTTCCTTCATGGGTGATCCCCAATGTAGCAGTACTTGACTCTCTAAAGTCCGTTTCCTCTTTTCTAGTTAGGGCAAAATTATGAGATGAGGGAACCTTTCGGGGGTGGGGGGGCCCGCCCTCCACACACGGTCAGTTTAGGAACCTGGAGCCTGTGATGGGGCGCCACATTCTGCTCCAAGGGTGGAACGTGTGGCCAGTCTGATCAATCACAATACACTATATGCCCCAAGCTCTTTTCTCTCCATCACTGGGGGCTTCAAACTTCAATTGTAGTGAACAAAACACGATGTGGAAGCCCAATACATTTTGTAAAAGAAAAAGGGGAGCTGAAGGGAGTAAATGTCTCCAAGCCCACCCTCTTGGCCCGCAGGTGGATAGGCGCTGTGCTCTGTGATAAAACAAAGAAACAGGACTTGGTGCCTGCCTTGAGCACCTCACAGTGGAGTCAGAGGCCAAGAAATAAAAGCATGAAAAGTGGTGATGATTTTCAACGTCACCAGAGCCCTTGCCACTTATCAACAGCAAAGCGTTGTTAGAGGGCTGCAGACCAGTAGCGAACCTTTTGCTGTCGCCCCCTTCTCCTAAGCCCCACTCTAGTCCAGGACTTAGCTCAGGTGTCGCTTCCCCCAGGAAGACTTTTCTGAAACACTCTTCTGACTCCTCACACACACACACACACACACACGCACACACACACACACACACTCCTCCCTTCCTTCCTTCCTTCCTTCCTTTCTTCCTTCCTTTCCTTTCTTTCTTTCTTTCCTTCCTTCCTTCCTTCCTTTTTTGCAGGATACCATAGAGTAGCAGTTAAAGGTATCAGCTTCCAAACTACCTGAAATATACTCACAACTCAACCACGCCTGGCTCTATGGCCTTTGGCAAATCACTTAAGCTCTTTCAACGCCTGTGTCTGAACTGCTCTGGAATGATGCTTCCTCATCGGTAAAATATGAATTAAAGAAATAGTGCCCACCACATCACATTGTTGTATGAATTAATCAATTAATTCCTGGGGCCATGTGCAATGGAAGAACGATTATAATGGATTTAAAAGCACTTTGAAAACTAGTAAGCCCTTTGGAGAACTTATTTTCTTTAGGTGAAATAATAAGCATCAGCCATTACCTTTTATGGAAAACTGAAGTTAATTCACATCAGCAACAAACAGCTGAGGACGTGTTTATGGCTGTGTTTCCGGTTTATTAACATAGTACGTGATATTAGAAAATGAACTTGACATCCCTGCAAGTGGAGATATTTGGGTTAAAAACATTTTTCCCTTTCAAAACTCTTTCAGTTGTTCTCAAGAATACGCCAGAAAAGCTTCTGCGTTAGCACCTAATCCACTTCTAACACTGGCTCAGGTCTCTTTTTACCATGGGAGTGTGCGGGGCTGGGGCAGGGGCGCCGGCCTGATGCGCAGCGCCTTCTCCAACAGCCGCCGGAAGTTCAAAGCCCAGAACCACGAAGCACCTGTTGCTGCAGGGCCCGGGACAGAAGGAAAGTCAGGACGCCCAGGAGGCGTCCGCAAGCGGGAGGCCGGGCAGCGCAGAAGAGGAAGGGACAGGAGAGGACAGGCGACACCCACGTGCAAGCGCAGCCGCTCGCAGCTCTCGGGGGGCGGGGCGGCGCCCGAGGCTTCCCTCAGCCCACATCGGTCGGGGCGCACCCAGCGGAGCGCCAGCTCCCCGCGTGCAGAACGTCTTGGGGTGCAGGGCGCGCGACTCCGCGTAACTCTGCGTGTCCGCGCCGCCCGGCGCTCGCCGCGGGAAGAGGCGCCGAACTACAGTCCCCAGGGACCCCGGGCGTGGTGGGCGCGCGGTGCGGGGCCCCGCGGCGGAGCAGAGCGGAGCGGAGCGGCGACGCTGCACCGGAGGCGTCTGGGTGAGCGCGGTGCGCGCCGGCGTGGACGGGCGGGACGCGGGGGTCCGGGAGCCGCGGCTGCCGGAGGAGCAGGGGAAGGCGGAGGGCGGGAAACGGAGCCAAGGGGAGTGTGAAGGCGACACCCTCCGGGCCGGAGCAGGAGTCGAGACGGGCGGGGACGGAGGGACCCAGCCCCCTGGATTCCCTCGGCGCCGCGCAGCGGGTCTCGGAGGATCCCTTTCTCCAGAATCAGCGACCGAGCGGAGAACTCTAGCGATGAATTCTGATACAGTCTCTTCATTTTCTGGAAAATTGGTTGTATTTCTGTGGGGTTTTTGTTTTGTTTTGTTTTGATTTTAGTTTCTCTCTTTCTTCTTCTCCAAGTATTTCTTTGTCAAGTCATTCTCCTGGCCCAGCGCCGCATCCTCTTCCTCCGAGAGACTTCGTTTTTTCTTTTCTTTTTTTTTTCCTTTTCTTTTTTTTTCTTTTCTTTTTTCTTTCTTCTTCTTTTCTTTTCTCTTTTCTTTTCTTTCTTTCCTTTCTTTTTTTTTTTTTTAAACTTTGCCCTTTTCAGAGCATTAACTAGATCAACCCGAATTCTTTGCACTGAGTGTTCTTGTCTGTGGAGGCGTCTGATTTCAGGAGTAACACCTTTTCCCCAGTTTTCAGTCATAACATCCTAAATTCACAATAAGGCTTAGGCTGAAGAACAGTCTAACCATTTGCTTTGGATAGACGCTATAAAAAGTTTCGAGGCATAACAGTACCATATTTATTAAAAACTTTAACTTACAAAATATTGATGATTCTTCACTTACAGGCTGTCATGACCTCTTACCCCGTGTTTTCCTGTAAGAGTTTCACAGTTCACAAAGTCAGCAAACTACTCATTTACTTCGTGTTTTGCTCTGTACAAAGGTAAAAACATTTTAAGCTGTGCCTGCCACATGGCTTACAGTCTAGAAGAGAAGACAACTCTTAATAAAAAGCAAGTGTTTGGGTACACAATTATATTCATCTTGGAGGGTCAGGGAATGTTCCCTAGCTTTTAAAGTGAGTTTTAAAAGTTGGCTAGTCTGAAGGGGTTGAAGTAGGAGATAGGACAGGGTAGGTAGCAGCAACTGGGACCAGCGAGGCTAGGCTAGAGATCTGTACAGAGACCCAGACCAGGGAGTTTGATTTATTTCTTGGAAGCCAGGGGGGCAGTTATTGGCATTTCCTGAGCAGGACAAAAGGCAAGGACGGACATGTTCATGCTACCGGAAGATTAATCTGGTAGTTTGAAGGAGGAGAAGAGGATGGGGATTAGGACGGTGATCTCCAATTCCCATGTCATTCTCCCCTTGAATATTTTAACCAATCAAACTATACTTCAGTCGCTTAACTTGATTTCTTTCAGTCAGAGACATAACCTCCAGTCTGAGCTTCTGGACCATCCTAAGAATATCAGTGAAACTGTCCTAAGTATGAAATAAATGCAGCTAAAAGTATAAGAATATGGAAGTCTTGTGTGAACAGCCTAGTACTGTTCGATTTAGGGGACTTTTAGGGCTGAACTCAACTCTTGGGACTCTTATCACTTGAGCCTTCTTGAGCCCCCGTGGGCCCCTGAGACCTGAGTTGTGCCCATTGGTATAGATAAGAGGTAACAAAGGGTAAGTTATGAGAGGGCAGTAATGGGGGAGGGAAGATTTGCAGGAAGGAAGATAACAGAATTGAAATGACTTAGTCCCTGAATAGACAACAGTAGTTGGGTTTGAGGAGGAGGTACCAGTAGAGCTGAGATGACAGGAAAGGATGCTGATAAGGGAATAATAATAGTAGTACTTACTAACGTCCTACAGCCGTCAGACGAGACTTCATGGAGGGGGCTGAACTTGTACGTACTGTGTGTCTGGCACTGTGGTTAATCACTTTACAAGAATTAATGCACTTAACTCTCTCGACAACCCTATGAAATATGATTACTATTATCCCCATTTACAGAAGGGAAAGTCGAAGCACAGAGAGGTTAAATAACAGTTGCAATGGGTTTTTAAATGTGCCAGTGTCCTCAAAACGATAATATACCCCCTCTTGTTGATTACCTAGAGATATCACTGTATTTGCTCTAAGCCAACCATCTTTTGTATAATTGTCATTAAATGCTATCTGATTATTTCTTCAATGGTTAGACTTTGCATTTGTGGCTTCAAATTTTTATGTCTTACTGTTCAAAAAATAATAACATTTTCTATAACTAGTAAGTGGCAGAGCTGGAAGTTGAATCAGGCAGTCAAGCCATGGAATCAAGGCTATTAACCAGGATGTTGTGTTGCCCCTCATTGCTTGTTTTGGACAATTTCTTGGCTTTTTTACACTGGACAGATATGCTCTCTGACAGATGACGAGGGATCCTTTTGCCCCAAATGAGTGAGGTCAGGCTGACTCTCTACCGGTAGAAGTTAGCATCCAGCTACAATCTGAACACTTCATTCAATCAACCAAAAATTCATCAGTTTTTAATTGGACACCAGGAGTTCAAGGAACACTCAGTGCAGGGAAGGCAAAGGCGAATAAAATATATTCCCTTTCCTGGGGAGCTTGGTCTAGTGGGGAGAGGCGAATGAATAATTGCGATTGTCTTTATGTGGTTTAAATAGAGCTGGGAAAACAGAACAAAACTGGTCAAAATTAGAATCCAAAAGGATAGTTAGGTAAATCCAAAGATACTTACATAGATTACATGAGAGCCTTAATATTGTAAGTGCGGTTTTAGGTGAGATTCTTGCTTAACAGCAGGAAAGTATGGAAAAAGATAAGAATGTCCCTTTTCTCCTGACCATATCTCAATTTAAGTAATAGTAATTCTTTATATATTTGGGTTCCCTGAGTTAAGTTCATGTGCTTTCTTGGGTCTGTTGTTTTCCGCCTCTGCTCTTTGAGTTTCTGATTGCCTCCATCATCTAGATAGATAAAATGAGAGATTTTCCAATGGTATTTTCCCAGCACATTGCTCTCTTGTCTTTAAAAAACAGTTTCCTCCTCTATAGAATTAGGCCCTGAAATTCTACATTCTTCTCACTTGCTCTCTGAGTTTGCGTGATCGTAAGAATTTTTCCTAGTTCTAAACTGGGAACGGACCTTGCTCGGGAGGTTTATCATTAATCGACATTCCTTGAAGAAGAGGGGAATTATGTTGTATGTTTTCCAGACCTTTTACAGCAGCTCAATGGCCTCCCCAAAGAAGAGACTTCAAGGTCTTGTTGCTGCGACCATCACGCCGATGACTGAGCATGGGTAACTATCGTTTGGGGTCAACGGTGTCTGCTCTTGCTCCACCGTAGCGGACAGGTGTCCTCTAAGTAATAGTCACTTAGACTCTTCTCCTCTGTAGTATGGTTGCCAAATGGCAGCGTCTGTCATTCGTCCTCTGCACTGTCTCTGACCCCAAGTCAGAGAACAGGTCTCCCTATTACAGACAGCGCAGAGATAGGCAGCTCGCTTTTCTCCCAGGGTCTGTAGTTCCGTAGTGCAAGTTCTTGGATTTTATCGCAGCCTTGGCTTTTGCAAAGAATGCCAGGAGTTGGACG